CTGTCCCCCTGACCCCCCTCCCGCTTCCCGTTTCGCAGGGGGCAGTGACTTTCGAGGAGGTGGCCGTCTACTTCTCCCCCGAGGAGTGGGTCGAGCTGGCGGCATGGCAGCGGGAGCTCTACCGGGAGGTGATGATGGACAACTATGACCTGGTGACCAGTTTGGGTAAGGGATGTGCCCCTGGGGAGGGCAGAGGGTCCGCAGGCTCAGCTTGGGGGGCTGGAGCATCAGCTGGGGGTTCGCAGGCTCAGCTTGGGGGTCCAGAGCATCAGCTTGGGGTGCAGAGGCTCAGTCTGGGGGTCTGGAGGCTCATCCCAGGGTCCAGATGCTCAGCATGGGGGTCTGGAGCATCAGCCGGGGGTCCAGATGCTCAGCATGGGGGACTGGAGCGTCAGCTTGGGGTGCAGAGGCTCAGTCTGGGGGTCTGGAGGCTCATCCCAGGGTACAGATGCTCAGCTTGGGGGTCTGGAGCATCAGCTGGGGGTCCGCAGGCTCAACTTGGGGGTCTGGAGCATCAGCTGGGGGTCTGCAGGCTCAGTCTGGGGGTCTGGAGCATCAGCCGGGGGTCCGCAGGCTCAGCTTGGGGTCCAGAGGCTCAGTCTGGTGGTCCGGAGGCTCATTCCAGGGGTTTGAACATACAGCCTGGGGTCCGAAGACTCAGCCTGGGGGGTCCGGAGGCTCAGCTGAGGGTTTGGAGTCTCATCCAGGGTCCAAAGGCTCATCCCAGGGGTCCAAACACTCAGCCTGGGGCATCCAGAGGCTCATCCCGGGGGTCCGAACGCTCAGCTGGGGGTCCAAAGACTCAACACGGGGGGTCCAGAGGCTCAGCTGGGGGATCTGGAGGCTCATCCTGGGGTCCAGATGCTCAGTCTGGGGTTCTGGACCATCAGCTGGGGGTCTGGAGCATCAACTGGGGGTCCAGAGGCTCATCTCGGGATGCGGAGGCTCAGTCTCAGGGTCTGGAGGCTCAGTCTGCTGGTCCAGAGGCTCATCTCAGGGGTCCGAACGCTCAGCCTGGGGTCTGAAGACTTGGCCTGGGGGGTCTGGAGACTCATCTAGGGATCCGGAGGCTCAGTCTGGGGGTCCAGAGGTTCATCCCGGGTCCAGAGGCTCAGACGGGGCATCCAGAGGCTCAGCCTGCGGTCTCGGGGTTCAGCCCGGGGACCTGGAGGCTCAGCCGGGGGTCTGAAGGCTCAACCTGGGGTACGAAGGCTCAACCTGGGGGGTCTAGAGGCTCAGCCGGGGTTCTGGGGTCTCAGCCGGGAGTCCAGAGCCTCATGTAGGGGTCCAGAGGTTCAGTCTGGGGGTCCAGAGGCTCATCCCATGTCCAGAGGCTCAGCTGGAGACCTGGAGGCTCAGTCTGGGGATCCGAAGACTCAGCCTGGGCGGTTCAGAGGCTCATCCCAGGGTCCAGATGCTC